TTTATTATCAGCGTATAGATACTCAGTGTGACGGACCGCCTGGCACCCCGACCGGATACCTCCGTCATTCGCTGCATCCTAGTACTTGCGAGCACCATAAGCCTAAGGTCCTCCCCCCTGGCCCCCACCCCTGAGCGGCGGGTGAGGGCCCTAAATACTAATAAGGGGGGGGCACCTAATGTCCTCCCCCCTGGCCCCCACCCCTGAGTGCTGGGTGGGGGCCCTAAATACTAATAAAGGGGGGGGCCTATTGTCCTCACCCCTGAGCGGCGGGTGGGGGCCCTAAATACCAATAGGGGGGGGGACCTATTGCCCTCCCCCCGGCCCCCACCCCTGAGCGGTGGGTGGGGGCCCTAAAAAAAATGTTCCCCCAGGTGACTAGTACTACTATTCTTATCAGTTTAATCCCTGTTTCGAGTAGGTTAGTACTGTAGCGGAGATGCAATGTTCCCCAGGTTATCTCCGCTTATAATCCAAGTGAGGCTCAGGAACAAGTAAATAGTAAATCCACAGGCAAGGTTTCCAGCAGGTAAAATACAGCAATATCCCAACAGCAATCCCAATAACTGGAGGACACACAGTTTCAGGAGCAGAACTGAAAGCTTTTAATCCACAGTCTCCTTTTAAAGCATGCTCCCATGCAAGGGAGGGATTTGCAATCATTAATACAGTAGCCAATCCTGTCCTGGTAACCTCCCACACATCTCCTCCCCTCAGCCAGCATCATAATCCCCTTATCCAGTACAGTAATTCCCCCCGTTTCTGGATGTACCCCTAAACATAGGGGTACCTCTTTAAATCCTACATCCCCGGATAGCCCTGATCTGGGTGAACAACATATCCAAAAATCACCCAGATCAGACCAGGGGTTCGGGAAATGTATGGAAGGAATAAAATGACCGACCGCACTTACTGAGACAGCCGAATGAGGTTCCATGCGAATGGGCCCTGCAGTCGGTCCTGGCATAAGGGAACAAAATACACAAAAGCCTCTAGCTATAGAGGCTAGGGAGGGTTCGTCTGAATCCCCTCATTCGGTTCTTTCTATCTACCGAACGAGGGGCCGTTCGGTAGTTTGGAACCGAACGGACCGGGCTTGTGGAGGTCTCAGCGGTGTTCGCCTACTCGAGTGTCCGATTTTAGTTCCAGACACTCGACGGCAAAACACTGCGGGAGTTTTAAAATGGCGGCTACTTACTAGTCAATTACCCGTTCACAACAATGTTGCAACGGGTAATTGAGGACACACTTCACACAGGGGAGGTCTGGTTGTTTGGTATTTTCATTCAAATAAACTAAGGGAATGAAACTACCGAACAATGAGAGGAATACAATTCTTTTAAAACACATATAACACAGCAGATCACACGAATGCAGTTATGTACAATATACTTGCAGGACAGCCCGGTGCCATCCGCTACAAGTACCCTTTGTTAAAGTAAATTGAGTAATGGACAAAAGTCTTTATTGTATCATTTATAAATAACAAAGGGATACTATACTCATTCCCCTATAGTGGCTAATTGTGTAATAATGGTAATACTATTACCTATTATATAATATTGCCAGGGGCAAGGAAATTCCCTCTAAATAGATGGGTATAGGCAGAGAGTATGGAGACCGGAGTGATGCTGTCATAAAAAGTGTCTGTTAAGACACCTCCCGTGTCTTTAAGTCAAACCGCCGTTTAGTAAACCTTCCCCGGCTGCAGTACAGTCTCTGTTCGCTTACTCCGTAACCCACAAACCAAATGCAGGGGAAGCGCCAATCTCCCGATCGAAATCCACGAACGGCTCCAAACTCCCGAACGGCAATATACGAACTGCTATGAACCGTCGAACAATAATATCCCCAAAGCGGCTTAAGGTCCATCCAGCAGTCTCTAACCGTGAAGAAGAAATCCCCCCAATAACGAGACAGAAGCTCCGCATTGAGGGTCAAATAAGATCTGGTTTTACTGTGGGCTACCTGCCCGTATTTATGCAGGTCTCCCACCTGGTGGACACTCCCCTAGGGGACCAAATGGAAGACTTAAATTACAGACAGATAGAAGGACATTTCTGACACACAGTCACATCTCTTACCCACAGTGCATTCTGATTCCCTCCCCTCTGTCCTGGAGTTAATTACCAAGTAACTCAATTAACTCCAGGACAAGGACAGTCGCCATTTTAAACATAAAATAATAAAAGACATAAAAAATGCATAACTACATGAAAACTGAACATTTCCCATTCGTATTACATGTCCCCAGATAGCCTGGATCTGAGTGCATATTATTAGCGAATAGCGCTCAGATCCCACACACATAGTTCAATAGCCATGGAGTCAAAGTTCTTACAGTCTTTCGGTATACGAATGACTCCATGGGAGGGCTATCTGGGTTAAGTCTTTTGTATGCTCTCAATCTCCCGAACGGCCGGTGTTCGCATGCTTTCGTGGAGGCAGCCAGGCGTTCCCTTGTTTCAGCGGTGTTCGGCAGAAAAAGTGTCCGTTTTCCGTTCCATAGAAATAGAGCCAAACACCGCTGGGCGTTCGCATGATTTAAAATGGCCGCTGCCTCGTGGTCGACATACGAACGACGACCACCCTGAGTTCGGTTTAATTGAGAAGTGTCTGCGGTTAACCACAACGTTATAATGGTGATCACTTCGTTAACCTGCAGCACACTCCTCACTTGGGTGGCCGTTCGTTCGGCAGATTTGTTCGGGAAAAAAGAGTCATTCGAATGGCTGGGCTATAGAAACCAGCCATTCATACGAACGGGGACAAACAGACGAACGGGCAAAAATCCAGCAGACAGATGGTTCTGTCACAGTGTCAATAAGGTGATATAAAGTTAAATGTATCACAGACACACAGCCACCCTTTCTCGTAGCTAGTTTCCAGAAATGCTGGATAGGTACAAGGGCTATAAAGACTCAGAGAGGTCTAAGAAGAATCCTCTAAACTAACCCTAATCTCCTTAACCTCTTCCCGACCGCGGACGTATCAGGTACGTCTGGCAGAAAACGGTCCATAATGACCTTGGACGTACCTGGTACGTCTGCACCTATTTTGAGCTCTGGAAGCTCTGATAGTATAGCAGTGATGCTCTGCATGTGCTGAGTGCCTTGAGGGGTCCTGGCACTCAGTGCATATATAATAATATATATAAAAAAATAAATGTAAAATAAATAAAATGATCAATATTAACTCCCCCCCCCCCTTTTTTTCTAAAGGCAGTGAATCATGGGGCTTCTGGGGGCATCCATAGCATGCCGCATCATAAGGGGCAGGCTGGGGTCATCCAATCACAGCTTGCCCCATTAGCAATTTCATCCCAAGTGTCTTCCCCATTTCTCTGTTTAGTGTGGATCTGCCTCCCTCTCTTCACTTGTGTTTTAGTGAGAGAGGGAGAGAGATCTGTGGATTAGCTAGAGATATTTAGGTATTTATAGGTAGGGATTTGTAAAATCTTGAGACCCAAAGGCTCTTTTCAGAGCCATTAACCCCTGTCTTGCCAGTGATCACTATAATCACTGGCTCTTGCACAGCAGCACGTTTCTGCTGTTTGTGCCTTTTTTTTTTTAGGGGTTCATTTTTTGTGATCTTTTTTTCTTTTTTGATACCCAAAAGCTCTTTTCAGAACGATTAACCCCTGCCCTGACAGTGATCACTATACAGATCACAGGCTCTTGCACAGCAGCACTTATTTTGCTGTCTGTTAATTTTTTCAGGGGTTATTTTTTTTTTTTGTGACAGGTCACTAAGTAAAGTGATTGTGATCATGTCACATGGGTCACGGAAGTCAACCAGCGCTGAGCAGTCATATGCCACCCTTCATATGCCACCCTTGCGCTAGAGTCTGACGCGTCTATGTCAGACTCTGACCCTGATTTTGACCCTGCCAGGTGCTCAGATACATCATCACTAGATACAGTGTCTACTGCTAGTGATGTATCTGTTGATGTTGTATCTGTGCCTGCTAGTCCCCCTGCCAGAAGGAGACGTGCTGCTCCAGCTGGCAGAACTGCTGAGGAGTGGGTAGTGCCTCATCGCCAGAGGCTAGACATCCCATCCTTTACTGCAAATCCTGGCATTAATTTGGATGTCACAGGATTTAGCCCTCAGCAGTTTATGGAGGTGTTTCTGGGCGATGATGTATTGGGGAACATTGTCGCCCAAACTAATTTATATGCCCATCAATTCCGAGCTACAAATCCGGACTCTTTTTTGGCAAAGCAGTAATGGGCCCCCATCGATGTGCCAGAATGTAAAAGATTCTGGGCATTGACTATGCTGCTGGGCATCATAAAGAAGCCCTCCATCCGCTCCTACTGGAGCAGTAGCCCCATCTGCTCTACCCCCATTTACTCCCAATGTATGTCGAGGAAGAGGTATGAAATGATTCTGCATTTCATGCACTTCAGCGACAACAGCCTGTGTCCCCCTAGGGAGCATCCCCAGTTTGATAGTCTGTGTAAAATCCGCCCCCATTGTCCTCTCGCTGGAACCACTCCTGCAGAGGATACGAGAGGACAGAAGTATATCTGGTGTCCTGGTTGAGGGGAAGACTATACGGTCTCCGCGTATGCGGACGATGTTATGGTAACAATTACTAACCCGAGGGTATCCCTACCCCGACTGGTGGCCCTCCTAGAGGAATACAGAAAGGTCTCGGGCTATAAAATCAACTTAGACAAATCATTGGCCATGCCCCTGAATATGGAAGAGGAGGAGATAGCCAACGTCAAAACCACCCACTCCCTCAAAATCACAAGAACCGACGTTAAATATCTCGGTATCAACCTTACTGCAGACCCGGGGAAAGCGTATAGCGCCAATTACTCACCCGCTATCCAGGCACTCAGCCGCGATCTGGACAAATTGCATGAAAAGCCGATTTCATGGATTGGCAGACTGCACGCAGTCAAAATGACATTGCTCCCACGCCTACTATTTTTGTTCCAGGCCTTGCCGGTAAAAGTCACCAAACAAGACCTAGCGACACTTCAAAAGCACATTGACAATTTTATATGGGCACAAAAGAGGCACAGGAAAGCCAGACAGGTACGGTACCAACCAAAAACTAGGGGTGGGCTAGGACTCCCAATACTATTTAGCAGCTCAGCTAGCCCAAATCGTCGCATGGCACACACCAGAGGGCACACATAGGTGGGTAGATTTAGAGACGAAGCTAATGAGCACAGACCTGCCTCAGTTCTGGATCTGGGTGCCTAAACAAGATAGACCACCCTTACGTACCACATGCCCGGCGATCCTTAACTCTATACGGATATGGCATCTAACGGCTACCAAATACGCACTGAAACAAACACCCTCACCACTGACTCCGTATTTGCGGAACAAGGCATTTGAGCCCGGGCTGAGCGCACGAGACTTTAGGGGGATAGAAACAATGGGGATGCAACGATATGGGCACATGTATGACGGCGACACCTTCAAAACCTTTGACACCCTAAAAACAATGGCACCCCTAACCACTAAAGACATATTCCGATATGTACAGTTACGTGACTTTGCCAAAAACCCTGAGATAAAGAAAGCAGCACAGACCAAGATGATGTTCTACGAACAGCTATGTAACGCGGAAACAATTCAGAAGGGTCTGATCACGGTCATGTTACGGTTGCCTCCAGGCCGGCTGGAAGTTGGACCGTAGAAAGGATGCTCCTAGCGCTCACCAAAGGACCATCAGCACCGTAGACACCATAACTACTGCGTAGCCAACAGAAGTACTGCAGGCTCCACGAACCACCGCGGCTGGGCTGGTATCTCGCCATCTGGTCTGTGCCCTGGACCCACGACCAGGCTCCAGGTTGCAGTAGGTGAACCTCTTCCTTCTGCAGAGCGAAGCAGGATCAGGAACAAGAGCTCTTACAAGAGCTCAGTAGCTAAGGGAGTATGAAGAGCATAGCAATCCCTGTAGTGATTATAGCTGTCCCCTACAAACATGAGTCAAGGCTGCAAGTTAGAGGGTCAAGAAGATCTGATGTTTAATGGCACACACTCTGCATTTATGAGATTCTGCCCATGCAAGGGAGACACCCACATAATTAGCAGTATAACCAATCGGAACAATATACATCCGGGGAAATTCCCATCCCTCAGATAATCACATAACATAATTAAAACAGAACAGTTTTTCCCCATACCCTGTAACTTTAAAACCATACATCCAATCTTCATACAAATTACATATTCGGAATCAATCCATTCAGGGGAGCAACATATTAAAAAATGGCACAAATCAGACAAGGGGTTCAAAAGTTAGCAAAAGTATCTTTTGGGGCCTGGCTGGCAGCATGGTTTTCTGGCCCAAACCGGTTTTACAGAGCCCATTAACCACATGTTAGCAAAAGACAGCAAAAGACACAAAAATACATAACTCCTATTGAACTGAACAGAACCCCCACATTCAACCTATCCCCAGATGGCTTGGATCTGAGCGCTCAATATATCCAAACAGTGCTCAGATCCCACAAATACAGTCAAAACGCCATACACACTAGGTCCATAGTCATGGGGCAGAAGGCTGGCAATTAGGCTTCTCCATAAAACAGGGAAGCAGGGCAATTTGTCAAATAAAATAACAGTTACAAATGGCAGTTTGTAACAGGTCATATACGCGCAGCTCAGCGCCCCTGAAAAGGGAGCAGAAGAGCCAAGGTACATACACCAATGGGAAGCGGACCTGGGTGGGGCACTGGAAGGAGAGGACTGGGTAGACATATGGGAAGCGACAGCTAAGACGTCGATTTGTGTGCTGCACGAGGAGCAATCATATATGCTCCTGAGGTGGTACACTACACCAGCACAGTTGTACAAAATGGGCAAAACCACGACGGACACATGCTGGAGAGGATGCGGTGGCAAGGGCACCTTTATCCACATGTGGTGGAAATGCCCTGAAACCAGCAAATACTGGAAACATGTACAGACTCTACTGACAGATGTACTAACACGACAAGTGGATTTAGACCCGTGGTCGATCCTCTTGTCCCGACCCGTAGACGGCCTCCCCAGGAGAGAGCAACAACTTCTAAACAAACTCACGCTGGCAGCTAGAAGGGCTCTAGCACAGGCGTGGCTGAAACCCAACCTCCCCACCGACAATGACGTGATAGTAAAAATTAAAGATACGTATCTGATGGACAAACTGACAGCACAAATCAGAAACACTGAAAAATCATTCCAAAAAGTTTGGCAACCATGGGAGATTTTTGTTGACGAATGAGCCATATGGCCACGACATACGGTCCATGCAGGAACCCGACCCGCCGGGCGCCCCGAGGAATAGCAAGCCCTCTCCCCCACCCCCTTCTTTCCACCCCCCAGCCCCGACCCATCCCCCTCTCCACCCCCCATTGTACTAAACATACAGTACATGACAACGGATACCGACCAGGGCTTCACAAACCTACATAGAACCCCAGACAAGCCGTAACAGGCTACCTTGTTAGACGACGGAAAAAGGGCGGACACATTTAGGAAACCATTAAGAGGGCAGTGCTCAGGCGCAGGGCGACCACCACAGACTGGTGACCCTACTCTAACTCCAATGGAGACTAACCACAACAGGGTAGACGACCACACTGTTCAGGCCACCGAATACCTTCAAAGAGCAGGTTACCAAATGGAGGGCGTACAAAAAGAAAATGACAACTGTCGATAACAGGGACAGACAGACACAACCCCCATGACATACAAGACAAGACACCAACTCAGACACATTGGATGATGTTTCATTCCTATGACGTCATGGTAACCTGCGCTGTCCTAGACGCTGACCCCACAACCAAGTAAACCAATGACATGTCTGATGGAACCTAAAACCAAATGAAGTAAATTGCACTGTATATATGGTTGTTATGTCCTGTTTTGGTCAAAATTAGAAATCGGCTTACCCATAAGCACGAACTGCTATATAAAATCGAAAACGACACAGAGCGGCACAAAAGAATCGCTTTACATCATATGAAACTTCTTGTCTTCTGTAACATGCAATGTAAATTATATTTGTAATTGGCCCCTGCGAGGGCCACTGCATATTGCCAAACCATACTCTGTGTCGAATCAAAATAAAGACATTTTAAAAAAAATCCGCCCCCTGATTACCCACTTTGCTGCCAGGTTTGCAGAGGCTTATACACCTGGAAGGAATATATGCGTGGATGAAGTATAATGGAAGGCTGGGATTCAAGCAGTATGTTCCTTCCAAGCGCTCTAGGTATGGTGTAAAGATGTATAAGCTCTGTGATAGCGAGACTGGGTATACTCAGGCCTTCCAGGTGTACGAGGGAAAGGATAGCCACCTTGACCCTCCAGGTTGCCCAGAACATATGGGAACCAGTGGCAAGATTGTCTGGGACCTGATATTCCCCCTGATGAACAAAGGGTACCACTTGTATACTGACAATTTTTATACAAGTGTCCCTTTGTTCAAGCTACTGTACTGTTTTGATGCAGTAGCTTGCGGCACAATTAAAAAGAACAGCACGGGTTTCCCAGGACAACTTGCACGCACCCGGCTACGAAGGGGGGAGACCTCAGCTCTGCGCCAAGAGGAGCTGTTGGCAGTTAATGCAGGATACGGTAAAAAAAAAAAAAAAAGAGACCCACACGACCCAAGTAGACCCAAATACCACACCCTATAAGCCTTCGGAGAGCTGAAGTCACAGACCTCCCATAAGTAACCAATCATCATTAGGT